AGCATGCTCAGTGCCCCTGCAGCTGCGGGCGCCATGCTGCGAGCTGGGCGAGCAGGCCCTGACACGAAGGCCGGGAGGCTGCAGAAGCAAACTCCCACGACCAGGATCGAAATCACGCGAACAGCCTTCGCCATGATCTTGCTGTGGACACTGAACCTGAGCTGTGAATGCCTCTGATCTCGAGCCTGAAAGCCAATGCAAGGCAGCCCGTTGGCCTGAGCAGCAAGGCTGAATGCAGGCGCCCTTCTCCCCTTACTCATCTCCCAGCTGTCTGCGCAAAGCTACAGCGCCAGTAAAGTGTCAAGTGCCTCCGCTGATGTTTCGGCATCAACAGCGCAAGCTCGTCATGCTACGACCATCTTCGTCAACTTAAATATGCCACGGTCCGAGGTTTAGTTGTTAACAGCCCGGTGTAGACCCCCTTGCCAAGTCCTCTGATTTGACCAATGCCGGACATGACAAGCCCAACTTCACACCAGATCTGAAGCAGAGGCCTGAAACATGTCCCTCAACACGGTGACCCTGCTTAGGACAAAGGCCAGCTAAGCCTGCTGCGCCTGCGCCTCGTGCAGGAGCTGAAGACTAAGATCCCAACCTCATGATTCAGGGTTTAGGGTTCAGGGTTTAGGGTTTAGGGTCACTGTAACCACTCCACTTGGTGAGGAGAGACGGGGCGCGGCTTGGCTTACGGCTCAGATGTCCTTTGCCTTCATCGCACTGGTGGGATAATTCTGGGTTCACTTGCAGACGCTGGTTCGGTATGGCTCCGTCAGCGATGACTGTGACTCCACCCGGCCATGTTTTGAAGCTGTCCAGACTCAAGACAAGAATCCTACAATAGCAGCAAGACAGCACAACCACAACCGTAATCAATGATACGATCACTGACAAAACACGCTGTGAGAGTTGAACGCGCAGCTGGTTTTGGAGCTGGTTCGTGTTGTAGGCTGGCCATAAAGCACACAAACCCTAAACCCTAAACCCTAACCACAAACCCCCAAAGAGCCCCAAGAGAGTTCCCCGGCATGCAGTGGCTACCCCCACCATGAGCATCCGTGCATATGGGACTTTCCGAAAATAATAGGGTGCCTTATATTGGGGTCCTTATAATAAGGATCCTACTATTTAGGGTACTATATTAGGGTCCCCTATATTGGGGTCCTTATCATAAGGATCCTACTATTTAGGGTACTATATTAGGGTCCCCTATTTTGGGAAACCCCCAAAATGCAACACTCTGGAAGCCTTAGCTTCCCCTCAGACACCGGGAGACACTCAAGACCCCCGCGGAAGGTGGAAGAAACCCCCCATGTTTAGGATGTAGGGATTAGACTAGAGTTTAGGGTTGAGGCATTAGGGTTTAGTGGTTTTTAGGTGGCAGATGCTTCGAAGGCTCTGGAAATCTTCCCCTAAACCCTAAACCCTCAACTCTGGACCCCTACCCTATATGCTAATCCTTTAACCCCAAACCCCTAACCCCAAACCCTAAACCCTAAACCCTACTTGAGACCGACAAGCTGAGCCTTCTGAGTGCGCAGCGTTGGGCGGTGCCGCACGCCTCAGCCGTCGATGCCGTGGCCGGCTGGAGGCTTCGGGTTCAGAGGTTGGGGCTTTAGGGGTTTAGGGGTGTTTAGGGTTTAGGGTTTAGGGTTTAGGGTTTAGGGTTCAGGGGCTGAAGATCGTTCAAGATTGAAAGATTTCGGAGTTGAAGGTTTAGCTTAGAAGCTGGCACTCTGACTCCGGCTTGGCTAAAACCTGCGGCTTTTCAACAGCCAAGCAGCTTTGATCACTGAGCTGATGGTGATCACCTGCGGCTCAATCCTGGCGCAAAGCCGCGAGGTGTGCCGTTTGACATGCTACGTGGGATCAAAAATCGAAGGCCCAAAGGGCACCCCTAAACCCTAAACCCTAAAGTGCCGACATGATCTGAGAAGACAAACCTGCGCTCTCACAGAGGATTGGAAGTCGGCGGCGCGCCCGTGCTTTCGGCTGTCGTGCAACGTCTGAATAGCACCGGTCCAGTGAGAGCCTCTTCGGCTTTGATGTTTTGTTCAAGCTTGCGGCTTCTTCGGCTGAGAATCATGCTGAAAACAATTCTGCGAACAGGAATGCTACTCCCTGCTTTCTTGATCACAGCTTCGGACTCAAATGGCCGATGTCTCAACACAGAAAACAGACCCCCACGTTAGTCAAGAGGCAGATCCATCGTAACAGGCGTGACTGGCTTGGCTTCGATGGGATGGGGGTGACAGGGGTAACACAGCAGGGCTTGCTGCCAGCAGGACTCAGCAAGACAATTTCGTGTCTAGGACCGCACAGCGAGCAAGGCGGAGAACTCTGTCAGATCATTTTCGCTTGCTTTCACTGTCGTTCATCTGGAGGCTGGCAGCAGAACGCCAAGGCTCCGTGACATATCGCCAGCATTTCCCGTGCTAGGTCTTCTGCGGCAGACCACTTGTGTCGGAGCCTTTCGCAGTAGGACTCCATTGCGCAGAGGAAGGTGATCTCCGCGACGGCCATCTCCTCATGCGGTCCCAAGCTCCTCAGCCTCTGCAGCTCGCCCAGTCTCGGCTCAACCACGGAGCAGAGAGCCCGGTCATGATCCAAGAAGGCTTGTAAAGCCTTGAGGCCCATGCTTTTGCAGCTGTCACTTCTTGTGCTGCTGCAAAAGTGCAGTAGTGCCTCTGTGACGGCTGGGTTGTACATTCCAAGCAGGCTTGGCCCGCAGCTCGCAAAGGCGGCGCAGGCTTGCAATCGCACCTTGTCGTCGGCTCGCAGTAGGATGCAGATCAGATCTTCAACAAAAAGATGTCGGACGACATCGGTTTCTGCTTCGGTGAAGCAGTGCTTCGCAGCCACCACCATGACGCTTTGAGCGCTGCTTGCCACTTCCTTGCGACCGTCGAAGCAGAACTCGCGCATCCTGTGGACGACTTGCATAACGGCTCCAGGCGCTTTTTTAATCC